CCCACAGAAACACTAAACTGGAAGCCATCATAGGTGCACAAAGGACCTGTAGGGTAAAAAGAGAGGAGGAAGAAATACAAATAAAATAAAAAATTGAAAGGAGTAAGATAAAACAACCCTTAAAACAAAAAACAAAGACCCCCAACACCACATTATGGGAACCTTCAAAGATGCCCTTGGATTTCATTTCTCTTGACCATCTACTGCTGGGCATGCAGCCTACCCCTAAGGGTAGTTTGTCCCTAGTCAGATTCCTTTGGAAGAAACTACATTTTCATTTGCATGTGATATCAACTGGAGACAGCTTCTGGATTCTCCTTTCAGCTCTAGGACACCCCCTGGTGCAGACCCTGGAGGGTCTGGACACGATGCCTCAGTTCATGGGTGCCATCCCTGTTATGTCCAGAGGCCTTGATTCCTTGGTGTCCTTCTGTCCGTCTCCAGCTCTTACACTCTTTCTGACTCCTCTTCCACTGGGTTCCCTGAGCTCTGAGGTGAGGGATTTGATGGAGACATCACGTGTAGGGCCGAGTGTTCCAAGGTGTCATTCTCTGCATGATGTCTGAGTGTGGGTCCCTGTTTGTGTTCCCATCTGCTGCAGGAGGAGGTTTCTCTGGTGATGGCTGCACACGATCTATGAGCACAGCAGAACGTCACCAGGAGTCATTTGACGGCCACATTTCTCCTGTCCTAAGCATCTATCTTTAGCTGCCTTTATTAGAGGGAGGGGCTAGGGAAGCTGTGAAGGGAGCACCACACGTGTGTCTTTGATGAAGTTGTCTTTCGTGTAAATAGGGTCCCACCATGAATTGAGTGAATACATGTCACTAATTAAAACTGACTTTTAAAGTTCTAAAAATTCAGGAAAGGGGCTGAAGGGATGGCCCAGTGGTTAGAAACATGAGTGCTTCTTCCAGAGGACCTGAGTTCTGGTTTCTGTGGGCACCCACACATATGTGTCATACACACACACACACACACACACGCACACACCAAATTAAAGTTCAGGAAAGCCAAACTTTAATTATAAATAATACAAACATGGAGCTATGGTATCAATACAGGATGATGCCATTTTTACAATTTCTCAAAAATATAGTTAGTACATCTGCATAGAAAAATCATTCCTAGTTAAGACAACTTTAGGGAAGTATAATTTACATACCATAAAATTCCCTTTCTGTAAAGCATAGTCCAATGATGTAGTAAATGTATCCAGTGCACACCAATGATTTAGGTGGCTTTTTTGGACGGCAGTATCAGGGTTCCACTATGTAACCCTGGCTGCTCTTGAATTTTTGTGTATCGCTTTCTCTTTCTGCGTCTCTCTGTCTCTCTGTCTCTGTGTGTGTGTGAGAGAGAGAGAGAGAGGGAGAAAGGAGAGAGAGAGAGAGAGAGAGAGAGAGAGAGAGAGAGAGAGAGAGAGAGAGAGAGAGTTTTAGAGCTGTCTTGGAACTAGCTCTGTAGAGCAAGTTGGCCTTGAACTCAAAGAGATTAACCTGCCTTTGCTTCCTTAGTGCTGGGATTAAAGGAGTGTGCCACCACTGCCCAACGCTTTTATATTTTTAACTGTCCTGCCCTTGGCTTTGCAATGGCATCTTATAACTTTTTTAAACTTAGGTTTATTTTGTGATGAGTGTTTTGCCTGCAAGTGTCATGTGCCATGTGCACTTTGAGCATATGGAGGTCGGAAGAGGGTGTTGGACCTCCAGGAACTGGAGCTATGGGTCATTGTGAGTTACTAGGAGGGAGCTGGGAACCGAACCTGGGTCTTCCGCAAGAACATATGTTCTTAACTGAGGAGCCATCTCTCCAGTCCCAAATCTTAGAGCTTTTGATTATCCCTGCCTCAAGTTACTTCATATCCATGGACTTAGCATCTTCTGGCCATACCTATTACTTTAATTTTAAACATTTCCATAAGAGGTCTACTTATTTTTTCATAATTTATGGAAAAAACTATGAGAATATTTGTAATTGTTGAAGATGTCTGAGTTTTTCCTCTGCTAAGTGCTTTTTACTTTTAAACACAGAACAACAGACACCTTTATTACACCAAGCCACAGATGAGACTTATTTGCCTTTCTGAACTTTGATCTTCCCCTTGCCCCCAAGAACATAGCTTTCTGCTCTACTACACTGGCTCTTTTTCAATTAATCTCTCTCTCTCTCTCTCTCTCTCTCTCTCTCTCTCTCTCTCTCTCTCTCTCTCTTTAAAAAAAAAAGAGTTTACTGAAGTATGATTGACACATACAAATATGCTCATAGCTAATGAACAGTTTGGAGATAAGAAGCTACAATCATAGTCTATGCCAGGAACATATCTATCAACATAGTCTCAGCTGTGTGTGTGTGTACAAATGTCAAACGTCTTCTATTACTCTCTACTTTGGCTTTTTGGGATAGACTATCTCACTGAACCTGGAGTTTGAGTTTTAGGCTGGCTGGCCAGAGAGCCCTGGAATCAGCCTGCCTCGACCCCCAGCACTGGGTTTATAAATGTGCTCCTCAGACGTTTACATACTTTTCCCACTGGCCCATCTCCCCAGCCCAGCTTTAGCTTTAACGGGAATGAATTTGAATGAGGAGCTTCCTAGAATATGATTTCTGTATTCTTAAATTTTTTTTAAACACGTTATATGTTACAGGTTGTTCTAGAAGTCATTGTAAGCCTCCTGCCTCAGCCTCATGAGCGCTGAGATTACAGGTGTGAATGAACCATCATGTCCAGGTTATTTCTTAAAATTTAATAAATATGTATATAATCTTTTGTGAAGACAATAAAGCTACACCTAAATGAACAACACCAAGAAAGAAAACAGATCTACCCTTTGGCTAAGTCTAATTCGGGTGGTTCACACAGAGGAAATCATCAAATATAAGGGAATATGAGAAAGGATTTGTATACAAAGGTACTTAACAGTGTTTTATTTTAAACAAAAAATCATAAATAATCCAAATATCTCACTACAGCAGAGAATAATTACAGACTATACTAGAACCTACAAGTCCTAGATGCAAAGCTTTATATGGTGTATAATCTAATTTATGCAAAAAATAATGTTAGTACATGTAAAAATACAAGAAAATCTTATCAGTGATTTGGCTAGTGGAACTATAATACTTTTTATTTTATTCTTTATACCTCTCTTCATTTGTCCATAAATGACCATAATTAAAATTGACTCGGTCATTTTCAGGGTGTTCATATCTGTAAATACATGAAAGTGTACATTTTAATGTATGCAGTTTATTGTAAATCAATTATACATAAAACACTTAAAACAATTAGAAGGATCCTCAAAAACCAATTTTAAGTCCTTTACTGGAAAAATGATTTTGCTACATTTTGGGGCCGGAGCAAAAAGTGGTTAAGAACAAATGTTCTTAACTGCGGATTTGGGCATCTTTCCAGGACCGAATTTTAGAGCTTGTTATTAATTATCCCCTCTTCAGATCACTTTACACTTACTGGCTTCATCTTTTGGCCATGCCCCTTATTTTCATTTTAAAACGGTTTCATGAGACCCACTCACTCATTCCTAGTCACCAAGTCTGTTTTCTATTCGTACCCTGGAACGTGGTCCAGCCCTTGGACACCCTGATGGGCGACCCCGCCTCTGCCCTGAAAGGGCTTCTGTCACGGGGAGGAGGAGAAGGTAAATCATTTGACAAACGCCGGGGCAACACCCACAAAGCCCCAGCAAATCTGGAATCTCGGGACTTATTAGCAGAGGTAAGAGTCACCAAGGGCGGTACCAGTTTTCTGGCTGTGGAGGTGGCCCAGAGGTTACTCTTATGGGAGTGTCACCACTCCAGAAGCGGTCTTAAACAATTTCCTTTTCACTTTTTTGAGACACGGTTTTTTAATGTAGCCGAGACTGCTCTCGAATTTGTGATCTTCCTTCCTCAGCCTCCCCCGGGCTCTACCACATGTACCTTTTAAACCGTTTTTACAACCTACGTCTGCACTGCCTCCATACTTAGCAGAGGTCAAGACTGAGCATTGCTGGTGCAGGCACCGAGCAAAGGATTCTCATCTATTGTCTCTTTTGACCTAAACCACAACCTTCCGCCACCAGCAGTAAGGACTATCGGGACTATCGCAATCCAGAATCTGATGCTCTATTCAAAGTCACTGAACTGTGGCTGAAAGCCCAGGTTCCCGGTTCTCCCCTGCACAGTCTTCTGGTACCGGTTCTGGAGCAGAAAACACCCCACTTTCAAGCACCAGCCAGTACAGCCTGCTTTCCCGCTTCCCCCTGAGCAGAATGAGGCAACATCCGCCAGCGCAATCAACAGGGTCGTGCGGGTGGAGACCTCCCCATCCTCGCCGGAGAACCACCCGGATCCGGCTCCCGGAGGTCAACTCGAAGCTCCGGCGGCGGCTGGAAGCGCTCTCGTACCCACCACACCTCCCGCCGCAGGCGCCAGCAAGCCGCCCGCCAGACAGCCCGGCGGCTCTAGTGCGCGTGCGCGGGGCCAGAGGGCACGCCCTCGCGAGCGCGCGGGGAGCCGGGCGCGTGACCGGGACGCGCGCGCATGCGCGCGGCCGGAGGGCGCGGGCGCGCTGCGAGTCGGCGTCGGCGTCCGCGCGCGCTGCGGGCCGAGGCTGTGTGGGCTGAAGCAGCGAGCGAAGCGGCGGCGCCCCAGAGCCGAGGGTTCGCGCGGGCCTCGCGCAGCGGGAACGGACGGCTTCGGAGCGGACGCGGGGGCCCCGGAGGGACAGCTCGGCCTCGCCGCTGTGTGCCTCGCGGGCGCCGGTCGCTTCCCGGGCCCGGAGTGGCCGCCGCCCCGGGAGACGCGCCGTGACACGGGCCTAAGGCGAGGCGCCGCGGGCGTCCGCACCGTTCGGACCCGGGCGGCCCGGTGCGCGGCGGGGCGGGGCGGGGACCAGCGCCGGGGCAGGTGCAGTCCCCGGGGCCCTCGAGCGAGGTGTCCACGGCGCCGCTCGGCCCGTCCCGGCCCCGCGGGCCACGCGCCCCCCTCCTCGGCCGGAGCCCGGTCGCTGCCCCGCCTTCTCCGAGGAGCGCCAGGCGGGAGCGGCCCGGACCCCGGGATCGCGCGGGAGAGGACGCGCCACAAACTTTGCCTTTTATTGTTCCTAGCTCTTTAAGTGCCAGGGACTCTGCCGGGCAGGAAAAATGTCCTTCTTCAATTTCCGTAAGATCTTCAAGTTGGGGACCGAGAAGAAGAAGAAGCAGTACGAACACGTGAAAAGAGACCTGAACCCCGAAGAGTTTTGGGAGATTATAGGGGAACTGGGCGACGGAGCCTTTGGGAAAGTGTATAAGGTAAGAGGGAGAAAACGGGAAGTTGGCTTTGGAGTTGAAACGGTCGCCCGTCCAGGGTGGCACGAGGACTTCACCCCTACACCCCTTCCCGTATCTTGCCCACCCTCCCTGGGCTTTGAACGTTGAAAGTTCAGCTCAGCATCAAAGCAGTGGCTCCGACGGTAGGGTTTACTGAGTACGGGGGTCCGGATGCAGTTTCAAGAGTGATGGTTGGGCAGTCCACCCTGTCAAACTTGGAAAGAAATTAGTGTAATTTCATGGGAGGAGCGGGCGGTTGTGGCCCTCATTGTAAAATCGGAAACTCAGTAGGCTTTTCAGTGTGCGCATGTTTGTTTACTAATGGCGTTTGCATGTACGCTTGTACCAAAACAGGTAACTTTTGGGAGCTAGGGGCAGAGAGCGGGCAGTATCTGTAGTTCAAATAAAACAAGAGTAAAGTGATTGCCAGCTTGCAGTCTGTCTGTTCTTGAGTTGGTTGCTTGGCCACATGGGATGGAATTTCTGACAGAAAACTTCCAGAAGAAAATCTGCATTTCATCCTAGTTTCTAAATATAAGCTTTGGCTCTAAGGCAGTACCAGCACTTGAAGAATTAAAAACTCCACGCGTAGTTATTTCAATAGAGGTTTGATGTTTCAAAATGAAGGTGTGAATGTTAAATGTTTGTACTGTCCTAGGAAGTATATGAATGATGTCACTGGAATATTTACTTCCTGAAGGGTGAGGCTTTTATGAGCCACAGTTTAGGGGAAGGACCCACAGAGTTGCCTAGAAGTGAACACTTACATACTCCACTTTTCAGTTTCATGTAATTTGGTCCCCGTGAAAGTTCCGAAAGCGGCCAGGTCAGTAGTAGCGTCCACATATCCAAGGTTGGGTATCCTGAAGCTTAGACGTGATTCAGTTTAACCTTGAACTCAGATCTTCTGTTCCCAATTGCAGTTGTGTGTTTTTACTTTAACGTGCATTCAGTAGAAAACATTTCCCTTAGTTGTTAAGCATAGTACACTTTATCTTGTGATGTATGCATGCACTGAATGCATTCTGTCAGAATTCCAGTCCTCATCTTTTATCCAGTCTGAAAGACACACTTTCTTTGCGCTGAGTGTTTTTGGAACATCTTGTTCACATGGCTACTGTCACACTTGTCATGTAGTATAATTGACATTCATATTTATATAATAAAATTGAGGTCCAAAGTTTCACATTTGAATCTGTTTCTCAGCATATGCATTTCCTCATTATTTGTTGAAATGAAATGTTCTCTTCAGAGAATGCTATTGAAAGTTGGCACAGAATATGGTTTCAACAAGAGCTTACTCTCTAAGATGCATGGTTGGAAGGGCATTTAGTGTGGTTGGAAAATCATTCTAGGGACACTAGTGTTGGCTGTCAGAGCTAGCTTGGTGGTCATGGGCAAAATAATCATCTCCTCCAACTAATGTTTTGTTAGTTGTAAAACCATAGGTTTCCTTGAGTGTTTGTTTCTTCGGCTCTTTCCACTTGTTAATGTCCTCTGCATATACAGTTACTGAGGAGAGGCCAAGAGAAACCCATAAGGCACCTGAAGCTTGTGGTGAGAAGGGTAGGTGGCCATGGGTATTTCTTGTTGTGTGAGGACATTTCATCAGATAGGAAACAGCAGAGGATTTATAGCATGGGCTCATACCGGAATATTTCTTGCTCTCCCACACAGCAGTCTGTGACCTTGGGCAAGTTACCTGCTGTATATTCGGTGACTGACTGATGGACTTCCCTCACTGGAAGGCCTATTTCTTGTATTTGTGGTGTAAATATATAGAAAGTGTAAGGCATCTAGAAGGGGTTCAATGAGTAGTAGAAATTACTGTCATTATCTATAGAGGTCATAGAAGCCAAACGTGGTATGGGAGAGGAAAAGGGACCCAGAAGATAACAGCCTCTTTCTATGGCATAGGCAAATTGTGCGATTTTACTCTGCAGAGGGTCATGTATAATCTTATTGCAAAGTCAGTTGAAATTTCCTGAAAAATTTGAGACTTCATGTAGTTTAACATTACAAGCTGGCTAGCATCCTGTGGGATTATTTTTACAATGGTACTGAAGAACACAGATTCTTTGCATTTGCTCTTGAGGAATCAGGCATGAGTTTTGTTTTTGTTTTTTTAAACAAAAATGTAAATTTAAGCTTGCTTGACTTTTTGGCCTCATTTTTCCTTTTCTAAAAATTGTTTAATTTTCAAGATTCTCTGGAAGTTGTAAATTTATATGAAGGAAACTAAAGTTATTTTTGTGGTGTGAATGCTGCCATACCTTAAAGTTTATGGTAGTGTGCAGTAGGCAGCTGTTTTAAAGCTTGATTCCAGCTACCACTTGGAAATTGGGGACTATTAAAATATTAAATTGGCTGGGCAGTGGTGGTGTACACCTTTAATCCTAGCACTTGGGAGGCTGAGGCAGGGGGATTGCTGTGAGTTCGAGGCCAGCCTGCTCTACAGAGTGAGTTCCAGGACAGCCAAGACTGTTTCTAGGAAATCATGTTGTGTTCTTAATTGAAGTTAGCTTCCCATCATACAGTTGCAGTCCTTGTGCTCAGTTCAGAGCTGTACAGCTCTCACAGAGTTACTAGCAGGCTTGTAAAATCAGCACTAGTTTGTTTGTTTTCTTTTCAATGTGGTATGGTTGGATGTAAATGAAGATACATAATATCCTTTGTATTATCTTATCAGAAACCAAAAAATAGTAACAAAAATATGCTTTGAGTGACATGTCTGTTTTTAACCTGTTAAAGCAGTTGATGCTGAGTCCTGACTGTATGCTCTGTGGCAACTGACAGGGCAATGTCTTTTAGAAAGTAGTGAAATATTCTTGTATTGAAGAAATACTGAAACATGTATATGTATTTAGCAGGTAACAAAGTAGGTTTCTGTTGACAGTATCAGGGTTAAGAAATTCTGCTGCACCTCAGACTCTCTCCTTAAATTACTCATCTGCTGTATAGTTTAGCATCTCTAAACATAAACTTAGTTGTATGTGTTTCAGCATTATGAAAATAGAATCATATTTAGTGTGTTATTATGCTTGTTACACGGGCTTTGTTATCACCGACTGCTGCAGTTAGTTGATTTTCATTGTCGCATCGCATTCAGTAACAGGATTGTTGTAGCGAATCTTTCTCTGTCCTGCTGGGCAGATCCCAAATAATGACTCGAAGACGTCATTAGCTTAGGCTTGTTCTGCTAGCTCATATAACTTAAGTTAATCCATTTATATTAATCTATGTTCTGTCACATGGCTTTTACCTCTCTCTCCTTTTGTGTGTCCTCCTTGTTTCACCTCCTGATGGTGTCTTCTTTCTGTGAGGAAGTCACACCTATGTCTCCTGCCTAGCTATTGGCCGTTAAGCTTTTTATTACATCAGTCACAGCAACACATCTTCATACAGTGTACAAGTATCCTGCAACAGGTTGTATCACAGTCATTTGCCATTTTACTGTTAGTGGGCAAATGGGTTGTTCCTAGTTTTCGACTCTGACATAAAACACTGGGATACTTCATCAAGTCTTGACTCGGGAGTAGCATGGCTGTGCTTCTAGAGCAGTATGACTTTAATTTTACTAGCTGATGTCAAACTGATTAAGCTATTTTATAGTCCTACTGGAGTGTATAAAGATGTCTTTGTTCTTTGTTCTTATTGACATTTGGTATTAGAATTTTTGACCATCTGATTATTAATAAATGCTTTTTAATACGTTTATCATAGTTTAAATTTCTTTGTGTTCCATTCTCTTGCTTATTTTCCTATAAATGTCATTTTCTTCCTATATGTAGTATATGTACTTGTAATATATTTGTGTGTATTATAAACACGTGTATATGTATCTCTAAATATATGTATTTGAATTTTAGCCATTTCTCAGTTATGGTATCATAAATGCTTTCTCATTCTGTGACTTATCTCTTTATTTTCATTATAGTGTCTTGGCTGAGAGACTTCTTCATGTCAGTATAGTAGAATTTTTCAGTTTTTTCTTTTCTTTTAATGTTTATTTTTAAGGCATTCTTTGCTAAACCAATATAATGAAGATAATCTACTTGTCTTCCAAAAGCTTCAGAATTTTGCCTTTAACAAGTTCACAGTTTGTATAGACTAAGTTTTTGTGTGTGATATGAGGTTAGGATTCAGTCCTGTGCAATGTGTTCCCTTCTTTTCATCATGAATATTTAAAATTCAGAACCATTTAAGTTCTTTCCCTTAAGGGGGCTGTCTTACTGCTATCTACTATATAACTTTTGGATTTCTGCAGTTTTTAATTTATCAGTCAATCCCTATCTCACTATTCTGTTATCCTAATTAGAAAAGCATTAAAGTAAGTTCCTATGACTGTAAGACATTCTCTTACTTTTTTCAGTAGTGTAGGATATTCCTGGCTCTTATCCCTTTCATGTGTATTTTAGAAATACCTTGATTGAAATTCAAAAAAAAAAAAAAACAAAACCACAAACCATTGTATTATTTTTGAGAAGTTTTATTGGTTTTATGAATTAATATTGAGAAAATTGACATGTCTTTCTGTGTATTCATTATATCTGTATTCATGCCTTTCCTCAGTAATGGGTTCTTGGTTTTTTTTTTTTTTTTCCTGGAAGTCTTGGAGCACAAACTACTTCAAAAGTGTCTTTACTTTTAGGATTTCTTTAATTTTGAATGAAACCTTTTGTAGCCTTCAGAGAAAATATCCATGGAAAGTATATTTTTAGACTTTACCTGTTGAAGTACCATCTTTTTATAATGCAGAGAGTAGTGTGTAAATTCTGCTTCAAAACAGGTTTTCCTGGATTTTTTAAGAATGAGAATTTTCTGACTTTTTCCTATTCATTGTCTTTTGGCTTCAAGTGTTGATGTTGAAGAGTTGATGTCAGTTTATTTTCTGATTCTTTGTGATCTTTTTCTCTTTATAGCTCTCAGGAATTACTCTCTTTTTATATGGTTTTCTGATACTATGATCTCCACTCCCCACT